TGGGGGGCACAGACTACTGTATACTGGTCCCTCCCAATCGGTGGCAGTGAAAAGCAATGGAGCGAAAGTCCCTGCCCCCTCCTCCATTGCTCTGTTACTCCAGAGTGTAAAATATTCAGGAAACAAAAGCAGTTTTTTCTGCTGTGACGTTGTTACAGATCCCCCCCCCCAAAATAAAGCTAAACAACTTTGAGCTCTCCTCCCTCCCCAAAAAAGCTTAATAAAAGTTAATTTGGGGGCAGCTAGACTAAATTTGGGGGAGCTGGGCAGATCTTTGCACCCAGTGGTGCATATGCTAAAGACGGCCCTAAGGCCAATCCACAGCTCCACCACAATCTTTCACCAAAAAGATCTGGAACTGACTCAAGAAGCCTGGGCTGCATTTTCCCTCCTAGCAAACTTTTGAGCACCATGGCATCATCATCATCATCATCATCATCATCATCATTATAGTCAACAGTGTTCAGTTGCTTTTTGTCCTTCTCTCTGTTTGCTACAAAGCCTTATTCTGAAATCAAGAGCCTCTCCTCTTTCTTTTATTGCTCCCAGGTGCAGCATAACTGAGGACACCAAAGAAACATAACGAAAGCACCAGCATAGCCCTTTCGATCACTTAGTAGTTTCAATGGCATGCTTGCTCCTGCTGTCTTGGGGATTTTAGAACTTGGGTACCCTTTAGAATGGCAGCACTTTGGTTTAATCCATTGATTCTCTCCAGGGAATCAATTAAATTACACACACCCAATCAGGCACAGACATTATTCGAACTAGGTGTGTTTGATGCACAGGACTGTAGGAAATATGAATATAAAACCTCCATGGGCTGAAATGTCCATTAGATTTTTTTTAATGGGTCTCTTCCTAGCCCCAGATGAACAATGTTTACATATTTGCCAAAATAGCTAGGGATGCTGACAGAATTAATTAGATCCTTGTGGTGGATTCTAGAGTGAAGGGCCATTGCACTTGTTTGTAATGGATGCTTCTCATGGGAGATATTGTATTCAGTTATGCCATGGGTACCTGACTGTAAAATCCACATGATACACATTGTGAATAGCAGACATCCTTTTCATTGTCAATATATACTGGAATGTGGGCCAAATCTTTCCACCCATTAAGATTTAGATATGGTCAAGAACTGCTTGCAGCCTGAAGTCCTTAGTAACATTGTTGTGTTAAAAGGGGAGGGATCAGGAGCTAAGGAAAGCAGTAAGGTGAGGACTATTCTTTGCTCTTACCTAATAACTATTATTATTATTATTAATAATAATATTAATATTATTATTATTATTTTATTGTTTATATACCGGCCATCTGACTGGGTTGCCCCAGCCATTCTGGGCAGCTCCCAACAAAATATTAAAAATACAGTTAAACATAAACCATTAAAAACAGAAGCAGAGGTGGGGAGCCTCAGGCCTGGAGGGTCACTCCAGAAGGACACTATGGCCAGCCCTTTCAAAAGCCGCTGGGAGGTCAAGAAGAATCTGTCTCCCTCTCTCTCTAGCTCTTACACACACACACACACACACACACACACACACACACACACACCACAGCTCATATTTCCATTTTCTTCACACCTTTTTAAAAAACCACTGTAGCATGTCCAGAAATTGTATGTAGCTATCAAATAGCAATCTGGTCTTCCTTGAACTCAGGCCTAGTTTTATAAAGAAAGCTAGTTTACCACTTCCAAGTTTATGGGTAATTTTTAGTGCTTATAGCAGAGTACTGGATATTTTCTCCTCATGTGAATGCCTTCAGGCACAATATAAATTGCTCTATTTGGTAGCTGAAATCAAGAACTGGAAGGACAAATCTCTAGCTTTTTCATGAATATTAAATCCTACAATGGGTAATTGCTCTATTTCCACGTGTAGACGACTAGGAGAGAGAATCTCAAGGTTAGCAGGAAACACCTCTTACATTCACTAGAGAAATAAAGTTTCAAGGGTACACACCGAGTGCTAAATCTGAAAAGCAACCTGACAGCTATAATTGCAATCGAAATCTTGCATCTCTGCATTAAGGAAAGGGTTTGCAGTTTCAAGACACTAGCTGGTTCTAACAGGATAAAATGACACTGTACTTATTTTGGTAGCAGATCTACTAGAACTTTGCCACTTCCAATGATATACTCCCGGTGGGTTTCTCAAAGGAAAACTTACCTGCAGTGAGGGCACCGGCAAACAGCCATTATACACTCACTAACAGCTAACAGGTAGAGCTGAATATCTGCCCCACTTGGCAAGGTCAGAGAAAAAGCTGATCTGACATGGAGGGTTATTGAATCCTTTTTTATTAAAAGTGCCATTTGGGAATGCTTCCATCGAACCACTGCTGAAGTAGGATGTTCTCAGTTTATAATACTTTGTTTCAACAAGAATACACCTAAGCAGGCTACACAATGTTGCTTTCTCAGCTTTCTGTTGGGCTCTTTATTTGATTCGGACATGGCATATTGATACACCCTGCAAGTTATTATGACTATTATTTTTTAAATAGCACTTACACCCCAAACTTTTTTCAGGCTGTGCAATCTTTTCAAGAGAGTCTCATAATATGGCCTTCTGGCACCTCAGTTGCTTCTTGTAAAACAGGCATCAATTCTTCCCCACAATTTTAGCTGCTATATGGCCAAAGGTGCCGTCCCCACTGCTGCTGTTACTTCTCTTTCTTCCCAACCCAATTCAGTGTGGATCAAAGGCAAGAGCCAATGGTCCTTCTAGCTCATCATCCGCTTCTCCACTGTGGACAAGCAGGCCCTGAGGATGATAGATGGCATAATTGTGGAGTCAGGCTCTCCTTCTTCAGAGGATAAGGCTGACCATGCAAAGTGGGAAGGGGAATTGCTCTCAGGGTCAGTTCCAGAGATGCATAGAGGATCTTATTATGCCATGTCTCTGGCCCAAGGACATCATGTTGCCTTCTTCTGATTCTGAAGACTCAAGCTCATGCTCCAGGTATAGATTCAGACAGCCAAGTTGTTGGCATGATGATTGCAAATATTTGTTTGTTTTTAAATGTATGTCCTACTCTTCCAAGAAATGGTTCTCAATTATCACATGATAACCTAATCATATGAAGCTTTCTGTCACATGCTGAGTCAGTAGGACAGGGTTGAAGAGGCAGATGTTGCTGGACTCCAGCTCTCATCAGCCATATCCTGACTAGCCAGTGGTAAGAGATGATGTGAATTGCAGCCCAACAACAGCCCTGCTCTAGGAACTAACCTTCAAAACTCCAGAAGTACTTCAATGTAATTAAGGCCACACCTAGACCATATGTTTAGAGCTCCATTTTATCACTTTAAAAGCTTTGTCTTCCTTCAAAGAATCCCAGGAATTGTAGTTTACCCAGCACAGAGCTACAATTCCCAGCTCCCTTAACAAACTACATGTCCCAGGATTCTATGTGCTTTAAATGTGTGGTGTGGAGATAACCTAAACTATTATATATGTGTGTGTGTGTGTGTGTGGGTGGGTGTGTGTGTTTAACATATCATGTTCAAGAGTAATTAAACATACTTTTACATCTTATTCAAATTTTTGACTTCTATCAATCCTGTCTGAAAATTTTCCAATCTAATCTCTCAGTGTGCATTTCTTATCTTCCCTATTACATTTCAAACTTATAACCAAAATCTCTATCTTTTTCTACTTTGTAACACTTCATATATTTCTCCTTACAAAACTTCTTGTAGTCCTACTAGCATAATTTGTTGATTACAGTTGCTCTTCAAATAATTCATATACTTCTTCCAATCTTCTGTAAATCTCTGGCCCACAGGTTTCAAATCCTTCCTGTCATTTTGTCCAATTCTGCATAGTCCATTAATTTCATCTGCCATTCTTCTTTCGTCGGAATTTCTTCTTGTTTCCATTTCTGGGCTAACAATACTCTTGCCACAGGAGATAACCTAAACTATCAGCCTGTTGAAAGGTTCTAAATGGGTCTCCAGAATTCATCCGCAAGAGTACCAGCACTAGAAAACTGCTGAAGTAGCTCATCATCTACGAAGTGTTTATGATTATATTTAAATAATTTTTATAACAAGTATTTCCCAGTTTTAGAACTGTTGGCATTGCATTGGCAGTATTCTAGATATAGAGGATAGAGCTTAGCCTTGCATTGCATTGAAATTGTTTGATTTAACACCATACTTTGAAATTGGGGATGAGGAACTTGTGACCCTTCAGACGTTCTTGGACTTGGATTAGCTCTAGCTAGCTGTTATGGAAATCATAGTCCAGCAAGATTTGGATGAACGCAGGTTTCCCACCCCTGTTTCAAAGTGCAGTGAGAACCTGCCCCACCTATCCTGCGAACTATACTGCTTGGTTTTCAGTGCTAAGGTTTAATTTAGAAAGCTTTGCTGAACTAGATGGTCTAAGGACTAAATAAGGAAAGTGTTTTCGTGTATGTGTGTGTGTCCCGTCCCCCCCCCCACTAATGCTACCATTACAATTGCTCTGTTTGTGGTAAAGGATAATTATTTTAAAATTTTACAGTGCTTGTTTTGACAGCTATCACTGCTTAAGCATCAAGCTATAATTAGGCAAGACATCCAATAAAAATAACAGAGAAGTCTGCAGAACATGTTTTCTTTTTATGGAACATAGAGATGAGACACGCTGATCTCAAAACATTGAGAAAACTTGCTTCCAGAGGAGCCGTAATTTAATTTTCAGGCTATAAAGATTTTAACCAGTTTCGTGCTCCGTGCGCTCAGCAAACTGCCTCCTCCCCTCTGTCCCAACAAGATCAAATAAGGAGGTTATGGTTCCAGGAGAGCCACAAAACACCCACTGGGAAGGCTGAGAGTGTTGGGGCTTTGGGAACACTTCCGCTGGAAAGCAGCCAGCAGCTACAGACAATACGAATAAAGAATGATGCCTTGTACTGAGATGGACCTTTGGTCCATCTAACTCAATATTGCCTACACTGACTGTGACACTCCACAGTTTCAAGCAGGGATCATTCCTAGCCCTACCAGGAGATGCTAGGAGTTGAACCTTGGGCCTTCTGAATGCAGACCAGGTGCTCCACCACTGAGCTATGGCACTCCCTCCTCCCTCCCCTGCAGAACCATGTGCAAACAACAGCTGGAGGAAGGAACTTTTCCATTCTTGTCCTTCAAGTCATCCTTAGAGGAGCTAGACATGTCCTTGGTCTGGTGCTGCTTCCAGAGTTTTGTGGTCCTACAGTACCACCCACCAACCAGGAATAACCGGGACACACAAACTGACATTTAGCAGTGAGGATGGTGGGGTGTGTTATAATGCAGGCACTGACCACATCAGAGACTAGGGACTCAGCTATACAGCTGCAAACAAAATGGTTTAAGTGTGTTGCAAAGTACAGTATACAAATGTGACACTAGATGGCGATGGTGAGCTATGGCAAATTCAATATATTTTTCAAAGTTTTTTTTAAAAGCATTTTCACAGCGTTGTGGGTTTTTTGAAATAATTTTTATTTGATTTTACAAGTGAAGAATTATAACAGTTCAAAATACATATCTTTATTTGGAGATTTCTCTGAATCTCCAGACTTCCCACCATCTCCTCCATGGGTCCTATTGTCAACTTTTCCCCACTGCATATTATTTCATAATCCACATTTTAATCTCTCTGTATTGTCCATGATATTTGCTACATTACAAGTCTTATGAAAATCTTGCTAATGTGTTCATCTTCTTACAGTGATCTCCTAAATAAATTATGAATTTCACCCCTTCTTTATTGAAGTTTTTATCTTCTTGGTTCCTGAGCTTTGCGGTCAATTTTGCCGTTTCGGCGTACTCCAACAGCTTGGTTTGCCATTCCTCTCTGGTAGGGACTTTGTCTTCTTTCCATCTCTTGGCTAGCAACATCTACACAACTGTTGTCACATACATAAAAGGTCTTTTCTGCTCCTTTGGGATATTGGTACCTACAATTCCTAATAAAAAACCTTCTGGGTTTTTTTATAAAGGTTATTTTTAAAAAAATTCAAATCTGTGTGTGTGTGTGTGTGTGTGTGTGTGAGAGAGAGAGAGAGAGAGAGAGAGAGAGAATTCCTGGCATTTTAATATGTGTGTAGATTCCTAGGCGTTGTCCAGGACTCAGGTTGAACGTTATGAGAAAGCAATGCTCTGCTTCTTCTTCAGCAACAGTTAGTTGTAGACTAAGCCTTATATAGGACCAGCAGTTCTGTCTCAACTGGAAACTCTGCCTTCCATGAAATATGCCTTTTCAGTAAAAGGGGCCAAGCCCACTGTATTAGCCTTTCACTCTGACAAGAAGGAAGGTTGTATTGGCGCTTCTGCAGTGGAGTCCCCTGGATGAGTCTTTGGGCTGGAGAGACACTGGTACCACAGGCTCATCCTGCATGTTTACTCTTCAATCATCAACTTCAATCTCATCCTACAAAGAAAAGGAATGCAGTGCCAAGGTCATGACAGGGTGCTCTCTTTCCTGGTCTTGGGGATCTAGCAAATGCCCAACCTTACCACCTCCTGGAGCCAACCCTGTCTTGGACAGGCCAGAGAATGGAGATAGATAGGTCCAAGGGGGAAAAGAGAGCATCACCCCCCATAAAATAATCTTTAAAAATCCCTTCACCATCCTTTAATATCAGAGCTGGCTGCTGCTAGCTATTGACTCATCAGGACTGATCTGCACATGCAGCTGAACAAGGTGGTGATAAACTGGTAGAATCCTGAGGAGATATTTTGCTGCATCATTTTAGACTGCAGGTGTGGAATCACATTGATGGATGCTCCTCTACATTTCAGCAGCAGCAGCAACAACAACAAAGATCCCACAAGACAACAAATAAACAAACAAGCGTAGAAGGGAGAAGGGTAGGATGTAATCTTTCTTCCCAATGTGCTACTGTTTTTGCAGGATTTTTAAAAAATCAAAACATGGCATCAGTACTTTCTTTGCAGTCAGGTTTTGCCTGTTCTTCATCCTCTGGAAGAGTTGTCCATCAGGGAATGCGGCCGCCTGGCTCAAAAAGTTTTCCCATCCCTGTGGCATTAGATAGATTCCTATGTTTGCTAAGAAACAGAAGGATTAGGCTCAAAGAAGGTGGGAAAAGGTTTTACTTAGCTTAATTTGGTTGGCAAAGCCCTTTGCAGCTGAACACCTAGTGGCTTTGAAAGAACTATTCAATTTAAATTTACAGTTATATGGGGTTTTTTTTTATTCAGGTTCAAACAGTATTGAATATTTCATGATGGGTTTGTCTGAAAAACTAATGGCATTAGTGCATGGTACTTTGGTCAAGGTGTGGGAGGGTTTCATTAGCCTTTTCTGATGCACAGAAATGAGTGGCTGCAAATCTCAGATGTGCCATTCCAGCTGCTCCTTTGCTTTGAAAATAATACAATGCTGCATGTATAATTTGTTGTCTTCTTGGTCGGTAGGATGCTCAGTTGGAATGCTGCAGCTTTCTCCATATTTTTTTTTGTAGCCAATATTCAAAACAGCCCAGGGTTGAAATTTCAGCTCTGTTCTCCTTAATAGGGTCAGGTTTTTGTTACTTAAGGGAAGGATAAGAGTGCTCTGGTGCAGCTGACAATAGATAACAGACTCCAGTTCTGGCATAACTTTACCGCTGGGACTGGAGCAGATAGCAGCAAGTGCCTTGGGTCTCTGAATCTTGATGCCTTTGCAAAGCAGAACAGCGGACTGAAATTTTGCCGATCAGTAATACCACAGAAACTCTAAATTATCTAATCGTCTTTCCTTTTCTGATATTGGCAGTTAATCTCAGACGTAATCACAATCCAGTTCTGTATGCATGTTTAATTCAATGGCAAGAATAATTTCCTGTGAAACAGAATTTGAAAACTGCGTAGCTTTAACTTTTTATGAGGTTTTTTTTTTGTGGGGAGGTGGGGGGGTTGGAGGATTAAATACCTAAGCTTCTTAGGACAGCCGGGGGGGGGGGGGAGCCAAACCGTTGGCTGAGATAGCAAACAGCATGAAGCATTTTTAAGTAAACTAAATAAAGGCAAGTATATCCATTTGCAGAAGGAGAATTCTGCTTCTAAAGATCGTATTAAAAAGTGCATCTATCACTTTTGGTTTGCAGTAAAGAGAGATTTGCGTTTTCATAACAGTTAATCTGATAGATGAGTTTAGGCAAGAAATTTCTTTCTAATTACAACGTAATTGCATTGCATCGTGATTAACTCACATAACAGTTAATCCTGAGTGATATTGCAGTGAAGCACAACTAATCCTCTGCTTAATTAATGTAGCCACCCAAATAATATAGCCTGGTTCAATATATAGATTTTCGTAGAGCTAATTGTTCAGTTTAATGAGCAAGAAGGAAAGGTCTATGAATTCTTGGTGCCAACGTGCAAAATTGTATCACAGGCCTCAGAAAGTGCTGGGTTATTAAATTATCCACTGTGCTTGACCCCCCCCCCCACTCACTGGTGCCCTTCACTGTGGCTTTCCAGGGATTATACTGGTATAACAAAGCACAGATTTGAGCCTAAGAACACTTGGGGGGGTGTTATTGACCTTGGTCCATTTTTTAAAACAAATCTAGTTCTCAACATCAGCTCGCTGCTGTTTGACATTTCCAAGTTCACGTGCAGTTACATACAAAAGAATCCAAAAAATGGCTAACTTAGAAAAATCTGGGTCTGCTTACCTCTTGCGATCACGTCTGGTCTGCTGAGCTATATGGGCCTATGACTGCATCAAGCAAGGCAATTCTTCAGTATCGATGATGATAAAATAAAATAAAATAAAATAATAATAATAATATTTTTTTAAAGAACATTAATATTAAAACATGATATTACACAATATTAAAAACACTTTAAAGCAACTTAAATTACAAAAATAAGGTGGGTCTTTAAAAAACCCATCTCAAATGTCAAGGTAAAGAGGGAATATATTCATTGGGGCAGGAAGAGTGCAATGGAAATGGTTCTATGAGTGCAAAACTCAGCCACTGATATTTCAAAACAGTTTCCCTGAAATACCACCCCACGGGACAAGGTTTTGGAAAAGGAAACAGTGTTTTGTACCTTTGATCTCATAGTGCTTGGAAGCTATCAAAATAATATCTGAGCATAAAAAGAAAAATCAATTTGTGTAACGTTTCCAAGTCTTAACAATAAATGTTGATTTAAACATTGCAACCTTAATGAGGAGGCTGCCCATGGCAGTGTTAGAGTACTAACTGGTCCACCCTATGACCTTCCTTCCATGTAGCTGAACTCTCACAGTAATCAAACTCTCCAGTTACCTTGACAACATATTCTAGCGTTCAAGGCTCCCACATTCTGCTTTTGCAGAAAACCCCTCTGTTCAAAAAAAGGACTTTCCTAGGAATCAGCTAAATTTATCCCCCTGATATCTTCCACTTCCTCTATTCTACCACCAATTATAGCCAATTAGACAAACCAGATTTGGCTTCTAAAGTGGGAGTCTGAGAGCTCTTTACTCAAGCGTCTTCCCATGCTGACTTGTTGCCCATAGCTCCCCGCCTCGCCCCAAAATATGAAGCAGGACATGATTTGGAACCACTGATAGCATCTTTTTCTACATGAACGTTGCATCTCCTTGCCATACAAGATGGCGGGGGATGGGGAGGAGGAGTCATCACATCATTGACTTTAGTCACGTGGTTCTTTTGTGCAGCACAGGTAGGACCACAAACACTTGGTACTTCAGCATCCAGTCTAAGGCAGAAGGAAGTAGGTGTATGCTACAAAGTCCGCAGGTTGTGTACCCAATTCTTCCCTACAACATGTGGGATGCTTTATTTTCACTAGCTCAACCAGGTAAACCCATGGAAGGAGGAGTGGGTCTGCACAAATTTGATCTACCTCTAGTGCCTAGGGATGGGCAAATCTATCATTCTTTGTTTCTTTCGATTTCCCACTTTCCCCATTTTTTGATTCAGTTCTCTACATTTCCACATCACTTCATGATTTTTTTTTTAAAATGGCCTTCCTGAAAATTCACCAGCATTTTAGTGCTAACTTTTCCCAGTATACCCAATTTTATATGAATATTTTTGCTTGGTATAGACATTTTTGCAAAGCAATTCC